TGCTGGGGTAGCACCAACTAAATGAGGTGCTCCAGAATATGGTGTGTGTCTCATAAGCTCCTCATGTGACCAAGGGTCACAGTTGTGTTAGGTAGCATCTTTGTGTGTCAGCTGCCCCAGAATTACTTGTCTAGAATATCTGTGTCAGCGTATTGGTAAGAAACAGCAAATAAAGTAAACATTGTTCATTTTGGTTCGTTTATTCCCCACTAGAATCCTGTGCAATAGATACTGTTATAGCTATTTTACGGATGAGATGGTCCAGGGACAGATTAGATAAGAAACCTCCATAGATCCTCAGAGCTGCTACCTGGTAGGACTAGGATAGTTGTGACCCTCAAAGCTGGTGCTCCTGGAGATCAATCTGATTTCCACCACCTCTGTCCTTGCTGTTTAGCCAGACTGGATCATTTACAATGTCATGGCTTATTCTTCTTCCCCCCTCAGAGATGTGTCTCCCATGTGATATTTAAATATCCCAAGATAGGTACATTTGTTTTTGTCATGCCAATTTTTGCCTCTTATGACGATGATCTTATCCTACAAAAATTTTAGTTTTCCAAAGCAGACTTCTTCACTGTAGGTAAATTTTACCCAGTTTTTCAAATCAAAAGAAATCCAATAACCACAGCCACCACAGAGCCACACCAGATCTGGCCCAAGCTTGCCTTTTACCTCCTCTTCTCCCTTAGGTCTTTCAGATGAAGTCCCAGCCCCCATGTGGGCTAAGGTAGTTAGATTTCCTTGCCTTTTTAAAATTTTATATATCATTGGTATATATTGTAGGTATGTCTTACATTTTGTCTATCTGCTACATGGAAATACCATTTCTACACTTATTTCAGGAAAATCTCTGCTTTCAGTGTCCCAGGGTCTATTTATCTGCATATATGTGTATGGATTAGGTACAAGGGCAGAATTCTGTTGAGACTTTGCTGCTTTTGTGTAGCTTCTTCTATATGAAAAAATTAGTTTAATCACATTATAAATCTACCCAGATATTAATTATATTTTCTTCAGATTTCAAGTGACTTTTAATATAGGACCTCATTATATTACAGCCATCCTCTCACAAGCTCAATTTTTTTTTTAACATAAAAGGTGGAAAGAGCTTCAAAGAAGGAGAATGAGGATGCAAACCCCTTTTAGGTAGCATTTTAGAAAAGTTAGGTCTATTTGAGCTTCCTTACCAACCTCCAAAATTGCAGTTTAATCTTCAGTTCAGCAAGAAATTATCCTTTCCCTTCAGTAAAATTAACATTTGAAATCAAGATTTCTGTGATTTTAATTAATAATATTATTTATTTCAGTTATTAAGACTATACAAAGCTCAAAATGTCTATTAAAAAATGAGTAGAGCTAGAACTCAAGACACTGAGAACAAATGTTTGGGATAGACCATGGATAGAAATAAGCAAAATGTCCATTGAGTCTTTTATAATTATCCGACTTGCCCATTATCAAGAGTACCCACAAACTCAGAGAGCTGCTGTTTGGTATTTCAGTCACCAAGAATTTTTGAAGCAGAGATTCCTATGCTTTTGAGTCTTTAGATATTGTCAAGGCAATTTACTGATTCGAATCCTCTTATTTTGTTGAATTTCTTTTGACCCAAATTTTGGATTGTTTAAATTACTAGCTTTTTAACCTTTTGGGAATGTCAGATCACTTTGATGACCTATAGAAGCAGGTTGTCTCTCTCCAGAAAAATGCATGTGTACATAGTCAACCAAATTTAATATAAAATTTCAGGGTTCAAGAATTGTTGAACCTGTTCAAAAAGCCATTGAAATATTTGGAAGATCTGTATGGCACTGATGTGTTTTCATCAAGCAAAGTGGTAAAATCCCTTTAGACAAAACCTTCTGAAGGTCATTGAGTGATATCAAATGCTGTGTCAAATTGCAGAGTAAATACTGTATGAAATTTTGAATGATTCTGTCTCCATAGTCTCAGTTTGCATGAAATGCTCCTTACATTCTGTACGTTGCATTGTATTTTATCTTCAGTTAATCTTCATTTTGATGATTTTTAAAACCTTCTACCAATTTGAAACTAAAGGAAATGGAGAAAAGAGCATAATTCTAATTTGTTGAGCTGATCACATCCTTTGACCAACTATTAAACAGCACTCTAGTTGGAGGTGGAAGTTGACCACCTTTTATTGCTAAGCAGTTGAATGTCAAGAATTATGCTACTATTAGAGGACAACTACAGAAAAATCCATTTTCAGAGCATAGACTAAGTCTGTGACAATATTAAAAAATGTTCATGCACAGTGTAGCAGTCACTGATATTCATGATAAAAGCCCAAGGGAACATTTGAATGATTAAAGAAAAAGTTGGTCTGCAATTATATAGAATAAACCAGTGAACAAAAATAAGCAAAATAAACACAGTCAGGCATGTGCATAAAACTCTTCGGACATACAGACACCTACACATGAAAAGGCATATATTTATATCCATGCTTCTTCTTCTTTTTAAAAAATTTGTTGTTTTTAGTTATACACGACAGTAGAGTATATTTTGACATATTTATACAAACACGGAGTATATCTTATTCTAATTAGGATCCCAGTCTTTTGGTTGTACATGATGTGGAGACTCACTGTGGTGATTCATACATGTACATAGAAAACTTATGTCACATTCATTCCACTGTCTTTCCTACATCAACATTTCTTTAAAAGTGTGATAAACTAGTCATGTGGCTGAGGTAGTTTATCAATATGTGTTTTGCTAATTAGAGGGAAGAGTATCAAATTTTCTCTAATATGAATGTCCTGGTGATAACATTATGTTTCTTTACATTTTTAAAATGATAGATCAAATATTTGTATAGTATTTCAGTTGATTTTTACTTGTAGAAATTCAGGTATGTTTTTATGGTGTTCTCTGATATTTAATATCAAAATTCAGAAAGTGTCCTTGGTGTTTAAGGTTGAGAAGACAACCATGTTTCTGTTTAATATCTTTATTTATTAGCTTTCATAGTTGCCACTAAACATTTCAAATCGATTTCATTTTTTTTGTCTATAATTACATTTCTCACAAAACTGAGATGTCTGTAGCTTTACACATTTTGTAAAATGCATTGAGAAATGTAAGTTCCATTAAAGTGAGATATCACATTTGTCAAAATATAATTCTCAGAATGTTAAATATAATTTTCATAAACATAAGTATTGAGTACATGTCAAGATTTCATTTAGCTCAACCATCAGATTGACAAAGCCAGTGCAAAAAAGAAGCTCTATTTGTTTCCAGAGCTATCTTAATTCTGTATCTATAATATAAATTTTGGTATCAGTCCTGAATGAGGCCATTTATTCCTCTATCAATTAATTAATTAATTAATTCACAGAATCATTAATATTTAAAAACTGTATACTCAGAATTTCTGGTATGAACCTCTTTTAGTCAAGTCCCAGGTGTCTTCCCCTTTTAGTCCTGATAGCTTTAGTTCCATGTTTCTTTAGCAAATATCAGACTCATCTGAAAGGTTTGCTACAACAGATCACTGGATTCCACCCCAGAGTTTCTGTAGACCTGGGGTGAGTCCTGGGAATCTGTATTTCTAACAAGTTCCTAGGTGATGCTACTGATCCATGGTGCACACTTTGAGAACCATTGATTTAGTTCTAGGCTTTGCCTGAGGATCAAGTGAGGCAGCAGGAGTAATGACTAACCCCTAGGAGTCAACGTAGTCTGTTCTCCATGCTATTCCTGTTTGCTTCTCCTGTCTCCTCTGTACACACAAGGTCAAGTACACCTATGCTTCCTCTGTCAAGTTGACATTGCTGGTAGCATAGCTGTCCTCCAGGGATGTTCCCAGTATTCGAATATCTCAAACCCCTAATGGGGGTCATTAGGGGTCAAGTCCCAGGTGTCTTCCCCACAGAGACCTGGCTTCCCACAGTTATCTCTTGTCCCTCAGTGATTTCAGTTTCACTATGAACCAGAGCTAGAAGGCTCCAAATCATGTCCTGTGAACCCAAAAGCACTTTTATCCATCAGGTATCATTTGTGACCTTCTGTTAGTAGGAAATGTTTAATGTTTGAAAGTTTGTCACCACAAGGACATAATCCTTTCAATTTTCAATCTGCCAGTTCACTAGTCTGTTCTGCTAGTTTATTCTTAGTTACTCATAAGAAGTAAAAGCTTTGGAGATTCCAAGGAAGTTTTAAGATTGAGAGTAGTGTTAACTCAGGGCAGAAAGCTGGTCTTTTCGATCTCGTGGAAGATTTCTGAAAGCTGGACTTCTAGAGATCATAGTCAAAGTGGGCGACTGGAAGTCAGAGGTGGGAGACACTAAACACATGCTTCAGGAGTTTGATGGAGCAAGAAAGGAGAGGTTTAGAAAACTATCAAGTTGAGGGTCATTGAGTTTTCAGAGGGAGAACCATTGCAAACCAAAGATGAGTTTAAGAAGTAGATATTAGTAATGTTATAGAAATAAAATTTGAAAGAAAGAAGGAGGCTCATCCCAAGATACTGATGAGGTTAGTGATGACCTTGACATAGGAGCTTGATTTTTCTTTGTAATAGATACTCTGTGAGTTCCAAGGCTTCTTGAGCTTCCTACATACTTCTAAGTCCCATCTGAACAGTGGATACAGTTCAGTTTTCTTCTACGATATGCCCATGTTAAACCTATGTGGAGCTCCTCAGCTTCACAAAAGGAAAGAAAAGACCAGAAGCCAGTCAGTGTCTCAAGTTAGTTCATGAATATGTAGGGTAACAATCGAGTATCTCCTGCAAGTTTTATGTGGGAGTTGTTCTAAGAAGCTCCATGTAAAAAAATAATAATAATAATCTCAAAGCAAAGTCATGTTTCTGTTTTTGTTTCTGGTAGAACCTACTTTGATCTTCTCACCATTCCTTTGTTCAGGAAAGAGTGGGCACTTCTAGAAGAGGGTGATGTGGCAAAATTGTTAGGGGAGGAAGCCCCTTGGGGAATTCACTTGGGGCCACAGGCATGTGTATCTCTTTCCAGGACCATGAAACCTCCTTCCCCAGGGCACTCTCGGCTCAGAGGCTGTCCCCTCGGTGGTGCTTCCTAGATGGTGAGTGTGGCTTTTCTTCACCAGGGACTGGAGGGGGTTGGAGCCAGCAGGGCAGGGCGTGGATTGATAGAAGGACTAGTTTTCCAAAGATCATTCCAAAAGCTTTTCTGGGACCACAATTGGTATTTGCATCTCAAATGAGGTGGCTTGCTGATGCCACAGCACCTCTGCCTAAGTTACTTCCTCCAAATGCTTGGTTAACAGCTGGTGGAACTCAGTATCACATTGCTCAAGCTAACATTTTTCTTTTATCACTCCACTTTGGCTATAACTACTGAGGGCCTCCCTTAAATTGATTCAGGCCAGTGGGTAGATTCTACATGCACAAGATGGGAACTGATTTCTATATTATTTGCATGTCACGGAGCTTCCATGATATTTTTATGAGACAATCATTTTATTTTAATGTATACATTTTTGTAACAAGGATACAAAATTTCAGTTGCACTCACATCTGCTGTAGTGAGCATGACAGATTGCATGCATGTTGGGGATTGTTTAATGAGTCCATTTTCCATCTCAAGATTTTCTCACTTTTATAGATACATCCTAATCCCATTTTTTTATCCAGTCATTTGTACTGAAATACATTCTTAACTCTACACATTGTTATTTATATACTACCCAACATTTCTACCACCCGGTCTCTCTGGTGTCTATATGGAGACATGGTTTTCACTGTAGATCTCTCTTATTTATCTGAGAGGACATAGGTATAGGTAAGAGTGACAATGTGTGTGAATTACAATGGCTAGGAAGGTGGGCTCATGTATGTAATCGGGATGCAGGTTTTCACTAATGCTCATCAGCTGCCTCCACGGACTCCCTCCAACTCCTTTTTATTCCACAGCAGTGAGAAGCACAATCATTTGTTGCTCCTGAATTAACAGAGGAACATCTCAATTTGAAGAAAATTATGAAAGTACTTATGTTATTATAAAAATGTTATGTTCTATGTATAGTCTTGGTGAATAATGGTTTTGATAATGGTTTTAATCTAGATATTACTTTACTCTATAAAGAGTATCATTGAAAACCTTTTAATGGTTAACTAATTGTTAAAATCATGCCTGAAATCATGGGTAAGAACAAAGTAGAGTAAGTCATTTTAGAGACAGATTTTACTCTAGTCTTACATTTTAAAGAGCAATGACCTTGATTATCTTAGTTCTTAACTAAGAAAACCAAATAAAACTTAGTTTTATTTGGAGAAAAGCTACTCTTAAAAGTTTGTGATTTTTAAATGATAATTTGTGCTTTTGAGTTTTTCTCTATTCTATTTTTTCTTTCTTTCTTTTTTCTTTTTTGTAAAACATCTGTAATATGTGAATTCTTGGATTTAAAGGAGGAGAAACATAATTAGGAATATTCAAAATAATTTCTAGGCACTCAAAATATGTACTTTTGTGTTTTTTTTTCCTTAAACCACAGATGCACCTTAATACCTCTTAGAGAATGATCTATATCGCCATCTATACCATATCCATATCTCTATCTACTTTGTCTGTTTGTTTCCTTCAGATAGGCCTCTAAGGACGCAGTTTGAAAGTTATGTGATGGCTTTAAGATCAGCTGTGTTTCCTGGCTGCATCTTCATTCAAGCCCTTCCTTAGGAAGTCTGGGGTTGTTTTTTGTTTGTTTGTTTGTTTTTCTGGCTTTCTTTATGTAATAAAGCTCTGTTTAAGGTCTTATAAAAATTCTAAAGACATAAAAGAACAAATGAAACAGAAACCTTTAAAGAAGCTAGCTACGTATCTTATTCTCATAGTTATATGTGAAATTCATCTGTATAACAAGTTTAAATAAAATATAAATGTGCATAGAGGTAGTAGCAATAAATTCTTTCCAGGGTAGTGGAGTGAATAGAGGAAAGTATCCTAGAAGTAGAAACATTTGAGTTGTTCCTTAAAAGACAAGGAAGAGTTAGATGGCAGATGTGATGGGGAAGGAATCCCTAAGCATTGGAACAGCAGTGGCTAAGTGCTGAGTTTTTCTTAATAGATTTAGGGAGTGACCAAGTATCTAGCATGACCGAAATTCAAAGGTTTTGATTGGCACCGTGGAAAAAGATAAGGCTGTAAATTTGGTGACAAATCACAGATGAACCTGAATACTATGTGCTTTTTTTCTTTTTCTCCTAGCAACTTCTGCTGACCGCTTTTATCGAATAGACAGATCTCAGGTAAGTTTCCTTCACCCTGTTGACAAAATTGAAAAACTCCAAAGTCTGTATACTGTATTTATAGCTAGTCCCATAAGTTTTTCCAACAAAAGCATTGAAACATTTATAAACTTTGGAGTTGTATTTGTAGTGGAAGCCCAGGGGCCCTTTTGTCCTCATGTATTTTATGATTTTTGGAGTGAATGATAGGCTTGACCTTGCAAATGGTCATAGAGAGTAACGTGGCTTGTAGATATCACCAGGAGAGGAAGTCCAAGCTGTCAGGTACTGACGCTGGACCAAGAGGCATGTGTGCTGTCAGTTCTATGTTAGTATTTGGGAAGAAGAGGCAAGACCAATTCTGGTTATACTTCACAAGATCCTGGTCAACTGGGAATCCTGAACCAAGGGGATTCATCTCTCCCCATTGCCCACTGCCTGCTTCAGGGGAAAACATCAATTGCTTAGGCTTTAGACAAAACACTGTGATTGCTTGGTGTGCGGAGTTGCATTCTTCCTCAGGACCAAGGGTGCTGCGTTCTGTTATTGTTTAGCTGATGGATGTGAGCATTTTGTCAGTCATCTGACAGGTTCATTTTTCTTCCTTAGGAACATTTGCACTTCGTGATGGAGATTTCCCAAGATGAGATTTTTATTCTCGACCCAGATATGGTGGTGTCACAGCAGGCGGGGACACCTCCCGGCATGCCTGATCTGGTGGTAGAGCAGGCCTCAGGGTGAGTGAGCTTCTCTTTGATTGGCACCAGCATCAGGCTGGCCTCAGGGTGACCTCTGTGTCTGGCTTGCTTTTGAAGTTGACATTGTAATCCAGGAAACTATTCTGAGGTGCAGATTTTCTGGTGTGTGTTTTTGCTTTGTTTTGTTTTGTTTTTGTTTTTTATCAAGTGAGGCGTAGCTTGTTGTGTGGTTAGTCTGACTTATGAGTACCTGTATAGAATGCACATTCCCAACTAGATTTGTGTCATGTCTGAGCCTTCTTTAACCATTACACCAACACATCGTACCAGACCTAGAAGCGACAGGTACTTGCATCTGTGCATCTATGCCCATTTATTTGGTCTGTTATCCAAACAAAAAGTTGACAAAGGTGATGTGACAGTGATTCTCTTCTTCTCCACTGTTTCCAGGCTGAGATACATAGATTATATAACAAGGACTGTGACATGTCAGTCTCTCACTAAGAGCCACACACTGTGCAGTACACCCCTCCTGTATTCTAGTGAATTAATCATTGGAAGTGCTCTGTGCTTGTTTTCTTATCTGTGAAATGTAATAAAAATTATTTCTACTCAGAGAAGTTGTTTGAAGAGTAAACAAATTGATGGAGATAAAACATTTAGAATAGTTTTAGGCCCTTTGATTGACATTGATTAAATATTATGTTGTTAAAAATCACAATCATCATTTTATAATGATGCAACTTAGTTTTTATTATCTTAAATCCATACATAAGAAAATTGAGGTTTAGGGGGTTATGTGACTTGCTTAATACCTCACGGAAAACCTGGGGTTCAGTCAGCTCTGATGCCAGAGCCCAGGCATTTATCACATTGCATTACCAAAATAGTGTTAACGTTTCTAGGCGATTTCAAAATTTTTTAACAATTCAAAAATATTTATTTGAAGCTGTTTTGTGTAACAGATATTAGTGTAAGACTTGAGAAACAACAGTGCAAAAGTTAAGCAGAGGGGTGCTGGGGTTGTGGCTCAGTGGTAGCAGACTTGCCTAGCATGTGTGAGGCACTGGGTTCGATTCTCAGCACCATGTATAAAGAAATAAAATAAAGGTCCATCGACAACTAAAAAAAATTAAAATAAAATAAAAGCAGAGGAGGGGGCTTTCTGATATACGGGGGCTGAAGAATTGAAATGAGGACAGTCCTGGGGAGCAGACCAGCCTGTGCACATGCTCACAGTATAAACAGGCATGTTCATTGGAGTTAACTTTCTCCGTTGGCCCCTTCACTTAATTCGCTTTCCGTTTCAATTTTTGTCCATTGCTGCTATTTTTTATTGTGTGCTACTCTGCCAGAGCCAGCTGATATCCACGGTACATGCTGAGTGTGTGGGGATCAGGAGCGGGTTGATGTGGCAGCGAGGAACCATCCACAGTTGCATGTAGAAAGTCAGTGCCACCAGAACTGTGCTGGCCTGAGGGGAAGGTCACAGGCACGAGGATGGCCTAATGTAACCCCAGATGTCCCAAAGGCTACCTTTGTGTGTTATGGCTCTACCTCCAACCTGTCAGCTGTGGGAAAGCAGGTGTGATGCTACATCACAATGCAACAGTGGCAGGTGCTGGCATCTGGGGTCCTCTTGCCCCGAAAGTCAAGTGCTCACCTGTGATCTGATGAGGAGTGAGGCTACCTTGCCAAGGCTGCCCTCGGCATTGACCTCTCACTCTCTCCATGTCAAATACTGGCCAAATAGTGGTTTTCCCTTAGTTACACCTCTTAGCTCCAAATATAAGTAGCTGGAAAATCCACTAGAACTCTAACTCACCCCCTTCTTACTTCTTATCAGTTCTCAAGAAATAAACTAGGATCCAAGAACAATGAAGGAGGATGGGCTTTGTAACTTTCTAACCTGCATTTCTGTGCCAGGCTCTCTATTGCTTCTGACTCCCATCACATGTAAAAATCACCTAATCTTTTTTATTTTTTATTTTATTTTTTGTTTCCAGGAATTGAACCCAAGGATGCTCAACAACTGAGCCACATCCTCAGCCCCTTTTTAAATATTTTATTTAGAGACAGGGTCTTGCTGTGTCACTCAGGGCCTCACTAAGTTGCTGAGGCTGGTTTTGAACTTATGATCCTCCTGCCTCAGCCTCCCAAGCTGCTGGGATTACAGGCGTGTGCCGCCCGGGCCCAGCAAAATCATCTCATCTTGACGTTCAGTTTATCTGTGAAAAAGGTGAAATCCTCCAATTAGTTCGTGTAACAAAGAGTCAATGAAATATGGAAATGTGAAACAAACTCTCAGTCAAGGCGGATTTCACTTCTCCAGTGTGGAGAAAAGGGCCTTCCTGAGATAGGACGGAGTTAATCACTTGCTGACTTTTAGTGCTTAACTGTCTGGTGCCTTTCTTTCTCCCAGGCTGTCAGACTGGTGGAATCCTGCCCTGCGGAAACGCATGCTGAGTGATAGTGGGCTGGGGATGATAACTCCCCATTACGAGGACTCAGATATGAAAGATTTCAGCCACTCCCGTGTGCTACAGTGAGTCTCTGGCCATCTTCCTTGGTGCCACTGTGATTGTTGGGAGATTTGTACCCTGTGACATTTACTACTAGCACGGACTCCCTTTTCAGTGGTGCTCAAGCTGTCTCATGTCTGTGTCACTGTGGCTTGACATTTTATTTCCTTGCTCACTTTTGTCGACCTCAAGCTCCTGAAGGAACTTCCATTTGTCTTGCTCATGAGCTACCTTGAGACTGCATGCGGATCTCTCAATATTTCGATTTCCACCAGTGTTTTCTTTACTGGCATCCAGTGTTTATCGAATGTTCTTGCTTACCACATCATGGAGACATGCATGAGAGTAATCATGAATAAATAGTTGGGAGGTGACCCATAGTTTTTCATCTGTGTGACCTTGTGTCAAGAGATGAGCCTCTGCATGTTTGCTCTGCATATTATTGTCAAGTAGCTCTTTTGCCTGAAGTGAGGTGCTGCCTGTGTGTGGTTGCAGTCTCTGTGGGCGAACGAATACAGTATTTGTTCAGAGATCAGAATAGCAGGTGTCCTTTCTTCTCAGACCTGATCTTGGGTGGAAAGAAGGATGCAGGTTTGAGCTTTGCAAGGGTGTTGGCACCTGATTCTCAGTGAACCCTCCCTTCTCCTATCCCTAAGTGCAAGTGCAGACACACCCTCTTGCACCCACTGTTTAGTTTCAGGCCAATGGCCCCATCAAGTTCACTGCAATTCAGGAAAGTAGGCTGGTTTCCAGTCCTCTTGGGGTGCTAATCAAATAGTGACAATGGCCTTGTCACACCCAATCTCACCTTTTGACAGAAAAACAAGATGGCTAAGATTCTTAGGAGCTCAGGGTTAACTGAAAGGGGAAGACAGTGTTTCTAAAAGAGGACCCGGAAGCAATTTCAGCATGACAAAGGAGAGAAAAATGAGAAATCTGAAGCTAATTATTTTATTGGCAAAGGTTCTACTCAGACACCCGGAGGGCAGAAAGAGACTTCATTTTAATTACTCCTTGGTATTACCTCCTATTTTCTTATGTGAAGGGGAGTAAAGGGAAAATAATGAATTAGTATAGATTTTCTTTTTTAATTAAACATGTTGTTGGTTCCGATGGCATTTTGATTGCTTACAATTCAGGGTGTTTCTCCACTTTGTTTTTATACAGAATTAGGGCTTGAGAAGCAGGGCTTGTCAGCCACCCATGAATAGCTTTTAAAAAAAGTGGTCGTCTATCTGTGGGCAGGCTTATTGGAAAATTAGAGTTTAATTAGCTGCAGAAATAGAAATCAAGCCCATACAAAACAGCTGAATGTTTTAGTGTACAGTTTCCAAAAAAAATGGAAAATGATCTCAATCTAGTTTTCTATGCCCTGATTTTTCTATATAGGACATATTGATGTACATGGATATATGAAGGAATTACTTCTAAAGTAGTAAATGTTTTTCCCCCAAATCATAAACAAATGTTCCACTGTACATGGTAGCCCAAGTTTTTAAAACACCCTGTCTAAATCAATGTTGATTTTTTTTAAATTTAGGTTATACAATTGGCCCTTCGTGTCAATTGGGATGGGTTCCAGGACCTACCACAGTTACCCAAATCTGTGGATGGTCTAGTTCCTTATGTGAAATGGTGCAGTGTTTGCATATAGCTCACCTCTAGATTTCTTATAATACCTAATACAATATAGATGCTATATAAATTGTTGTTACACTGTATTGTTTGAGAAATCCTGACAAGAAAAATAAAAAAGACTGTACATATTTAGTCACATATATTTTCAAGTATTTTTATCCTCAGTGGGTTGAATCCATGGATCCCTGCATATGGAGGACCCAATATTATCCCTTTAGGGATTTCTCTTAAATTTTTGTGTATCTTTAATTGATAGCTGTCAATTTTCAGGAGTCACAGTGAAGCATTCACATGCAGTCTCCACACACTCAGCAGAACAAACAGGCCATCATCTTGGGCTCCATCTCCATCTCAGACTCACTGAAGATCTATACACACATAAATGGTTGTTTGAATTTACTTGTTCTAAAAAAAAGAGGTCAAAACTAAACTAAGTACTTTACCAGCACATGTGCACTGACTCTTAACTTTGCTTTGTTATTAGTATGTCCCTTACTTCCATAGGAGGAACCTCTTTTTGTCTGTTTGGAGATCATCTCTGATATAGACAGATAAGTAGAGCTAAGGAGATACCTCATGTTATAATAGCTACTGTTATGGAATACCTCCTGCTGGCTTTTCACCATAATGAAATTATCTTTAATTCTTTCAGCGACTTTTAAATTTAGCCCTTGCCTAACATATGAGTAAATTGAGACTCATAGAGGGTAAAATATTTAATTTAGTCACCCAAGAGCAAGTGCAATTTGAATGAGGTCAGTTTGGCTCAAATGACATCATGCTTTTCCACTAGTATACTGCCTTCCCAAAGGGACCATGTAAGGGCAGCTTGCCCAGCCGCGAGTCTCACTGTCTCAGAAAGATTTACTTTGGTTTCTATTTCCTTTTAACATTTATAGAGGAAAAAATCCTACAATAATAGTAGTAGATTGTTTGCACATTAAATATTTAACTGCAAACTTACCATAAAGTAAATATAACTGAAAACGAATTTTGAAGCAAGAAAAAAAAATTCTTTGTTGTTTTAAAAAAGAGATTGATATGAAAATTGGTTTAAGACTTCTATTTAAAAAGCATTAAACAGGGCTGGACCATAGCTCAGTTGGTAGAGCGCATGCCTCACATGCATAGGCCCTGGGCTCAATCCCCAGCACCAAAAAAAAAAATAAAATGAATAAAAATAAAAAGCATTAAAGTGTATCAAATATGTACCAATATAAGCATAAAGTTATTATATAAAGGCACTCATGCATTGACCACCCTGATTCATCATTGCTATATTTGCATTGTCCTTCTATTAATCCACAGACAATGTAGAAGAGTATAAAAATACATAATTTTTATGGCTTTTTTTGTATTACATTTAAAAAATTTTTCATCACCTGTGTCACATAATGTATATATTTTGGAACTTGCTATTTTATTCAGCATCATATTTTTGAAGTTCATTCATGTTGATATGTAGGTTGTAAATTATTTTATTCCGTATAGAATTTTAAAGCCCAAATATGCCATAATCTGTTTCTCCATTTTTGTATTTACATCTAATATTTTATTATTTTAAACAATGCAGCCAGCAGCCTGCTGCGTATGCCCTTCTGTGTTGCACAGTATATATGCAGTTTCAAATGTATTTAATATTGCAAAGTTTACCTTCCCAGCAGGAGTATATTTAACAATGTTTACATATATTTAGCCTGAAGAATTTTCTTAACACGATTGGCATCTGCTACTTTCAGACTTAAAGCCTCAGTCAACTTGGAGATAGGAGAAGTTCAGTTCCAACATCTTCAAACCAGTCTCTAAGAAGAAATCAAATGGGACACTTTAAATTCTTAGTACTGAACAAACTATTTACCAGAATCTTCAGGTTGTGGCTGAAGTGGCATTCCCAGAATGACTCATGACCCCAGATTTATTTATCAAGGCAAAAACTATTGCAAACAAATAAGCAGAGCCTTCGATTTGATTGAAGAATCCCAGAGTCAGGAATGAAGAAACACAAGGGGAGAAAGATATAAAGAGAGAAATGAGTGGCAAGGAGTAGAAAGTCAATGAAATAAATGACTAACCAAAAAAATCAAAATTTTAAAAATTGATTCTTGGAAAAGGGAAACAGGGAGACAAATTTCTAAGACTATTTTTTTTTAATTGCATGGCAGTCACCTTTGCTGCCTTTCCCAGTCCAGTCTTTCTCAGTGTCACATGGCCACCCAGCTGCCCTTACCCATCCACATGCTGATGGACCATTCCCTCAGGCTCCTCTGGGTCTTCTTAGGGTTTTAATATTTGAATTCTTAGACAGATCATCTCCTCTCCTTCTTTAGGGTGAGTGAGAGGGAATTAAGGATGAATTACATTTCTATTATTACTGCAACTGGTGGCATTGCTGTTGCTTATACTTGAAAGCATTATTATTTTTAAGGAAGATGCCTCATACTCACCAGCTAACGCACAGGTCCTTCAAGAGGGACTGGAAGTCCAAAGAAGGATGCACAATACCTGGTGTCTTCCAAACCTGTGAGCACAGCAAAGGGCAATCTTTAAGAACCAATTTTGAAATGAATTGGCGGGAGGTGCTTAACTTATATTTTACTGCTAGGACCACAATGAATTTGTCTTTAAGTTTTTTTTTTTTTTTTAAATGTTTTGTGTGCCTAAGAAAGTTCTATTTAAAATAACATGATTTTGAAAGCATGTTTTCTCTTATCATTAATCGTACCACCACTGTTTGTGACAAGACTGTATTTCATTTTGACAGATGATGAATGAGGAGGGAATTAAATTTTAGCAGACAAAATCTCTTTGAGTCTAAGGAAGAACTTTACCATCTTCTGTGACTTTAGGGTCCATGAGATAAGAAAACAGACACTGAATGAAAGCGCGATATATTCTTTCCAAATTCTCTTTGAGAAAAGGGCAGACTCACTTGTAAGTCAGGGGGTTAAGGGTGGGCAGGTAAAAGGCTGGGAGATACTGCTTCAGTTTCTGAGTAGAATAACTTTTTTACAGTTTTTACATTTTGTGGTTTATGAAAAACTCGAAAATTGCCTGAAAGATGCACACTTTTCTTGATATCCCTAAGTCCTAAGCCTGAAGGAATAAAATGAAGGATTGTCATACAAATAAAAATAGAGCATTTTGCCACTGGACTAAGAAAATAGGGAGATAGTGCAGTGAAGAACCCCGGGGCAGACGCTGGATCCAGACGTGTGTCTAGGCAGGTATCTGTGACCTAATCGGCTGAGCAGGGCTGATGGATTGCTATGATTAGCAGGGTCAGTCTCTCAAACAAGAGATAATGTTACCCAAGATAGAACTATAAGGTATGAGGTTTCATTTATGATTTTGTTTCAGTTCTAAGAAACCAGTTGCACTCTTCAGT